TGCCTGTACCCACTGCTTGCCTGCAAGCGTTTCATCATTTTTAATAGATGCAATTTTCAGTTCTGAATACCGCTGATCATACACAAGGAGAGATGCTGTGAAAATTATCTCCCTTTTTTGAGTTTAGACTTTTATACCAATGTAAATATGTATTACATGTGATTGATTACACTTTTAGACTTGCAAAAGCCTAATTCTAATTGAGTTTTGTTTGGATATCGTTTTTTGGCCTATTAGCAAGAGTGACATATGTCCTTTCTATGAAATCAGGAGGAGGCAAACTAATCTCCTTTCGAATTAGCGTTAACCAGCGAAAAACTTTATCGGATGTAATATCACTTTCTTAAAGCGACTGTCGCTTTTCTTTTTTTTATTTTCACGAAAAGAATATTGCCAAGTAAAGAAACGGGAATTGCCTTCGTGCAATCTGTTGCGCTAAAAATATATAATCCTTCCGAGGAAAAAGCGCCTTAATAGCATTCTGCTACGTCCTTTCAACTGTTCTTACCAGATCGCAGCCACTTATACACTTTCAAGAGCTTGAATGTTAAAATTAAAAACCGCTTTTTATGAAATTAGTTTCAGAATCGTTGTCAAAAGGCATTGACTGTACTTTAATTTCAAATTTACCGTTAAAATCTTTTACACTTTAAATAGAAGGTATAAGGTATCATGGAGTTTTCAATGCAATTCTTTCTAAAATTCTGCCATATTTTACAGCACTATGAAAGCCTATTCATAGATAATGTTCAGTTAATTACGCAATAAGACAACCAAATTGAAATTACTTAAAACTAGAATTTATTTGTCTTTCGTAGAACTGTCTCGTGCGGTTCCGTTATAACGACGACGAAGGGACCACTGTAATTTCGTCGTTATAGTCGTTAATGTAAAGAGGTATAGACACGTATGTATAGTTTTCATCAGTTTTCAATTTTGAAACGATTTCCGCCTTTTTTTTAACATTAAATGTACATCTAGGAGTCATATTTATTCAAAAGTTTACTAAACTAAACAGTTTCATTTGTTACAAATGATTCATTAAAAACAGTAGCTACATCCGAAGCCGCTATAGCCACATGCATAGCAAAATGGTCGCTATAATCAAGGTGGTCCTTACACGACCTATACATACATACATCAGCGGTCAGAAGGTCAAATTTTAATACATACTTACGTGGGAACCCTTGTCTCATTCCATATTCTATAATAGAACAGAATACTAAATCGCAGTTGTCTATTTGTCAAGCAAAAAGGATCAGTTTTGTAATAAGTACAAAAGGGTTCTATTTTGGACCGGTTAAATTTCGACAGACATAAAATATTGTTGACCTTTCAGTTTCCAGACATTACCTTGATCATTTCTAGAGAGAGAAAATACAAAAGCTAAACAACTCAAAAGCTGACGTTAATAATCTATTATTCGCGGAAAGTGCGGCTAAACTCTATCGACAGTAAAGTTTACCAACAAAAAAAAAATCGTGGACTCGTGGACATGAACATGGGATGTAAAGGTACATAATGTGTATTGTGCATATACACATGCAGTAAATTAAAATGCAGTTCGTCGAATTTGACTCTACGAATGAGCCAACTGTTCGTAATAAAAGCTACACGTTTCCGGAAATTGTGGACTGCGAGATGATTAAATTTTTGANTTATAAATTCGATATATAGATTAAAAAATTAATTAATCAATTGTAAGATATATCTGAATAAGTGCATATTTGCTAAGCATCACAAAACATGTGGTAAAAAATAGAAGATTAATGAATATGCAACAGCCAAATGGCGGCGCCGGAAATCCGACTGTAACTTGAATTCATTACTCTTATTTAACCCCGCTAATCTCTTTTGGTGGAGTAAACGTTGTGCAAAGGTGCTTAGCCGACCGTTAACATTAACCGTGGATTGTATTATATGGTTTGTTCAAAGTCAATTATTATTGCAAAGCCGAAACAGCTAACACGCCTTATTTATAAATATGAGTTAATACCAGGCACTTACATACGCTCAAAATTTATACCATTTACTATATAGGTTGCACTAGATGACCTATATTTACATACTCAATTTTGTACATGTCTTTTCTAACAAATTATTTAACCATAAAAATTTTTAAATGATAGGACTGTTTTATCCTTATTATTCCACGTCAAGGAGTAGTGAGGATTTGAAGCAGAAGATAGTGCCTTCAATAAAACGAAGTCACTCATGTGCTAGCGTACGGTTAATTTAGAAATTCGAAAAAGTTTGTTAAAAGTGTACCTATGTTTAGAGTGCAGTTGTGTACGGGTGCGAAACATGGGCGGTAGGCGCGGCGGAAAAGGAAAGGTTAGAAACATTCAAAATGTGGTGTTACAGACAAATGGTGAGGATACCATGGGTAGAAAAGGTTACAAATGAAGAGGTATTAGAATGAATAGGAGAACAGAGCACTTTCACCAATAGTTCTACGCCTGGAAGCAAACAGAAATTATTTTTCTACATCAAGCATTTTTAATTGTACAAATTACAAATGAATGCGAGGAAACAGGTTAAGGATAGCAGCAGAAGTATCTGGAAGGATGCCAAAATACGTATTCAGTAGAGGTAGACGGAGTCAGAACCTCATTTTTATGCCTAAACAACTTATAAAAAAGGATGCTTATATAGAAAAAAAGGCAGTTGGCAATTTACCAACGAATGGTAGAAATGCTCAAAGTTGCTTTTTTTTAACCGTAGAAATTAGGGACACTCATATCAAAATTGCTAAAATGGAACACAAAAAAATGGCTCTCAATTACTTAGGGAGTAGGCTAGTCTTTCGAATAAAAGTATATTCAATTAATTCCTCTAAATCTACTTCCTAACAATCGCGGTTCATGAAGATAGAATTTTAATATCTTCACCGTAAGACACTTCGTTTCAATAATAAACGAAATATAATACGAACATCCCCTACTTATGGGTAACCTCACAAGGATAGGGACTAAAAAGTCAAATATGTATGATAGGAATGCCGCAAGCGATCGATATCGACAGCGCCTTTAATGGACTTGAAAACCGGCAACCGCTATAGTCGTAGGACAATAGCGACGTTATAAAAGGAAGTTTTTCGGAAATAATCATAAATATTCCATGACGATATTATATAAATGGTGCGTATCCGACAAGATAAGACATTATCATTAAATGTGGAAAATTATCGATGACAATTGATACTGAAAATGTGGTACCTACCCAGTATTATTTCTGAACCAGCCTGCGTATATTCCTTCCCGTCATGATTTAGTGCAGGTGAACCATTTGTATAATTTGTTCTCTATTTCTACAAATGTTTTGCGTGATATATGTGACCCAACCACTGTTAACCGTGGGGAATTAATTATTTGACCCTCGTCACTCTCTAATTCAACGCAAAGGTCACCTAGCACAAGGGACAGGAAAAATTGGTTGGCTTTGATTTTGGACTGGACAGCTTTATTCACGTTTAATATAAAGTATAGTAATCACCTTTATGTCTTTTTCGGTCTTTTATTAAAGAATGAGACCATTTAATTGAATTAGAGGGTCGATTCAGCCAAAAATATTTCGTTTCAAAAAACGCCATTCTTTATACCACTTTTAAGAAGTTATTGTAGGGGGCTAATACATTAAGGATTTTCCTTTTTGTCGCAATTATTACTATGGCAAATCATATGGATTTGATACGTATTATTGAAATACAAATTTAAATGTATTTGTGATTCCTATTCTTGTTTTAGATGAAATCAAAATTTCAAGCATCATACATACTTCAAAAAAAATAACTAGTCTTGTAAAATAGACTTTACATGCAGCTGTTCAACTTGAAAATTACGTAATTTTCAAGATAAGTTAGGTAAAAACATATGGCTTTTGAGGCACAATCGGCCGTTCATCCTGACTTTCAATTAATTCAGTGTTGATTTTAATTATTATTATACCCAATCTGAAAGGCAAACATTATTGTTCAGTCTCTTTTCAATTAGATTACCCAATATCGATTATGTAAATAAGTCAATTAATTTCTATGGCCGAATTTTAGTTTGGCATGTTAACAGATGCAGTCATTATTCAAATTCTACAGGTTAAAAAACGAAACTATCCGCCGTGATAACGATTGGTTGTGAGGCTAAGCCCGTTTAATCGATATACTTTTAACACCTAAAATGGTCCGAATCATAAACATGCAATGACCCAAATTTTCCAAAAAAGAACCGGACTTAAATTGTCTTTTCATAATCGTAAATCCATTGGAATTTCACATTTGAATTAGGTATTAAATCAGGGATTTAATTTAATGAATTATGCAAAGTAGTCATTGATTTTTGTATGGAATAATAAAGGAAATTGTGAACAGTCTTTAACCGTCAAGAACAGAGGCATTTTTTTATATTGCAATGTTCGTGGGTTTAACAAAATTTATTTCTAAGACTGACAACGACAAAAACTATTTATTTACTCTAATTATTAAAGAATTTAAAAACACTATTAAATTATTACTAAACTTAGGTTATGAATTATTCTATTTATTTACACTNCATACTGTAATGTTCGTGGGTTTAACAAAATTAACTTCTAAGACTGATAACGACCAAAACTATTTATGTACACTACTGTTGGTATATCACTATTCACTGCGCTATTTATTTCACTGCTATCACTGTCAGTTTATTTCTCGATTCACTTCTGCAACGGTCAGTTTATTTCTTCCCCTCTCGGCGATCCTCTCTTCCTTTAAATACTCTTTTGTTTACTTTCGGGAGCCTTCTCGAAACATCCGGAATGTTTCTTTTTCCTTTGAACTGTTTAACAGCATTCCCAGAACGCAGGTACGATACACACATGTACAAATACGGCGCAACGGTAGAAAGGCGCCCGCGGCTAGTCGGCGAATCGATAAGCCGTTCACGCACACGTATGCCCGATCGCACACAAACACATTCGTGCTCGCAACAATATTTTGAAACATATTTTTAGGATAAGGAATAAGTAAATACACTTATAAAAATGTTATTTATTGAATTAGTACATATAAGGTAGTGGTTTTATTGTACCCACAAAACTGAGAATGTTAATAAAATCACAGCAGTAGTACTATAAAATGAGAAATGTGGTTTAGCAGTTCCACTGTTGATACAGTCTAATCCATCGTCAGTGCGAATCATATTTGCTGGACATTGACAAATTCCCTTTCTACAGTAGACATTTTCTCCTAACGTAACCCTACACTCAAGAACATTGGAACATCTATCTCCAATTGCTAAAAATAGGATGAAATATATTGGTAGTCACTTTCACATAATAAAACTCTCAATTTTGTCACAGTGTAAGCATTTATAACTATAAAATTATTTTCTAAAACTTTTATTTTTAATATCCTAAAAGATTAAATATAAATATGTATCATTTGTAGGTAAATAAGGTGGTTAAATATTTAATTTTGTTTAATCTTTCACTATGGAATTTACCTTGTGTTACTTTATTGAAAAGTGGAAATAAATTATAAAGAAATTTACATTTTTTTAAATGAGCTTTCGCCTATTTCGTCGTCGATAACTAAAATACGATTGCAAAACTTTATGAAAAAGTCAGACTCCTCTGTTTCTCAATAAGCAATTTCTATTGCTCTCTTAATTTGGTCGAAGCTTTTGAAGTTTTTCGTCTTGACTTACCTTTCATAAGAAAACAATTTCCTTCGATATCCTTGTAGTTATCAGCACATGTGCAAACATCATTTAGACAAACGGAATCGTTCACTGAAGCCAAGCATTGCAAGTCCTTTTGGCAGTTCGCTCCCAATCCTTCCGCAACTGAAATTAAAAAGTCCCGCAATTTTTTCATTAGATCAAATGATAATAGTACGTATCGGTTAAATTAAACACATCCATTTAATATCTACGCACCTTGATAGCATGTCGTGGCGTTCTCAGAGGCGATGTAATTTGTGTCACATTGACATAGATTAGCGCTGGTGCAGCTCGCATGATTGATGGTGCAAAGAGCGCTCGCGCCGTCACATGTAGCACCCAAGTCTAGAAGTCATAATGGATCGGTTAAGTTTGCGAAAGGGAACAGTTTGTGTAAAACGTTATTACAATTTTTTCCCGTTGCAATATCTTATGTAAAAAATAGGCAATTTCGAGTCATTTTGACATCATTCTAACAAAGATAATTGTTTCCATTTTCATCTTATCCCTGTAGGGAATTGAGATAAAGATGATAAGTGATAAAGGATGGTACCCATAGGAAAATTTTCCATTAAAAAAGTGCCCTTTAATTACCACTAATAATAATATAATCAATGGTAATAAACGGAGAATTGCCAATGGGATGTATGGAATTTCCACTAGAATTCTAGTGGAAATCCCATTCCCGAACTCAATGGGATTTCCATTGGAACTTCCATTCCTGAATCCAATGAAAATCCCAGCGTAAATTCTTTATTTTTTACACGTTTTTTTTCTCCATTTTTTTTTAATAAGTTTTAATCATCTCAAACCAGATCTCAATTTTTAGGTACCCACTTGTTTTTCCATTTATATTGAATGGTTTTAAATAGAATTTATAAATTTTGCATTGGTTNTATATATATATATATATAAAACGGTACAGGTAACCCTCAATTTTTGCGCATAGCTTGTATCGTGTTTACTAAATTATGGGTAATGATGAGCAAAAGTAGTTTGGTCTTGCAGTTTTGTCTTGTCAAAACAAGAACCAATAATGTAATAAGAAGAAGATCAAGACCAAGCTGTATTGTCAAAAAGGAAGATTAAAACTAATACCAAATGAGCTAGAGTAAAACCAAGACCATTCATCACTAATTAGGAGTGATTTCAAATGTATTTTTGTAATTACCTTTTAGACTAGTTCGTATCGACTAGTATTTAAAAGCAATCTCTCACTATACATATTTGTACGATAAAATTTAAAAATATCAAGACGATATCGACTGCAGATTGCAGGTGTCCTAAATCAAACCTACATATATATAAACTGCTTTGCCAGGTAAATAAATTCGTAAGTTTAGAATTCTAGAGCAACAGTTTCAGGTGTCGTCGTGTCTAGTACTGGTAGGTGTAATTTATATTGCTATGACATGTCAAGTAGAAGTAGAAAATGCACTAAACCCATTCCCTGTATGTGGACAAACGTGCCAAGAATTCCGGATCTTGATTTTGGACTTGAATAATGATGCAAAAGTTCAGTTGTGACTTTATCAAGTTTACATAAGCTAAATGTAATAAAAGTTAAGTGTGTGACAACCCCAACTGTAACACGCTAGCTCTCATAGTATAGTTTTTTTTTTTCAGTGTAAGGAAAGCCTTTTTAATTTATACTTTCTCCAGGATATGTAAAGAAATTTACGGTTATTTTTATTCAGTATAACGTTATTAAAAAGAAATAAATACAATAGAAGCGATACTGTAAAAGGGCAAATGCCTGGAAATGTAGGATTACGAAGTCTGTGACATTCAGGTAGCTTTTTGAAGTTGATTGTTTTTCTAATGAAAGTGTATAATTTGTCTCTTTTTAATACAATATTATGTTCGTTGTGACTCTATCGCCATGTTGATGTAGAAAGCTATTAATTAAAGAAACGTAACTAAAACTGGAGCAGCATCTGAAAGTTGAAATTATTCAAACATAATATGTCTTTTTCGCACAGCGTTTTCGTGAAAACAATATAGGGATCGTCCGTTAATTCCTTCATTGTGCCTTGTATCGTAAAGAGGAATTATGCAAATGAAAAATTATGCGATGTACAGTCAGCCTCTGTTAGACTAAGCCGGATTAATTAATACTGCATGCAAGCGAGACACAATTTTGAAATGTTTTTCGTTCAATACACGGTTAATTAAAAAGATATCAAAGAAAAAATCGGCAGCTAATGGTCATCAGTATTTTCGAAAAGCTTTTTATACGGGAAAGTAATACTAAATTATTATTTTCAGTGGAAAACTATTAATTTTTTGAAAGCGTTAATTTTTAGTAAAACAAATCCTTCTGTAGTAGGTATTGATCAAATTCACTTTGTGGTTGATAAAAATGTTTTGTTTAAATGACCCAAGCATCGATAAAATAATTAGGTAACTACCTTTGTTATATTTACTAATTATAACATTGGTCAACTTACATTGATAAACTAAGGTCTGAAATGCAATTTTTGGCATAATTAGCAAAGCCCAGGTGTATCCTCACTTCAAAATCTTCTAATACAGTAGAACCTTGATAACTTAAACCCTCAATAACGTATTATCCTCTATATATTCATAAGATTTTGTGTTCCCTTCCCTCGGAGTCCAAACCCTCTATTACTTAAAATAAAAACCCTCTACAACTTAAATGAATAATTTGGGCATCGCACCTCTTAGTAAGCAGTGAAAAGTGGTTTGAATCGAGAGAAAGTCTTCTATGTAAAATACGAATAATTGCTGAATTTCCTAATTTAGAAAAATGCTTGTTGTTTACATGGCTTAGACAGTGTAGAAATAAAAACATTAGTGTTAATGGACGTATACTAAAGGAAAAAGCTGAANCTATCGCCATGTTGATGTAGAAAGCTATTAATTAAAGAAACGTAACTAAAACTGGAGCAGCATCTGAAAGTTGAAATTATTCAAACATAATATGTCTTTTTCGCACAGCGTTTTCGTGAAAACAATATAGGGATCGTCCGTTAATTCCTTCATTGTGCCTTGTATCGTAAAGAGGAATTATGCAAATGAAAAATTATGCGATGTACAGTCAGCCTCTGTTAGACTAAGCCGGATTAATTAATACTGCATGCAAGCGAGACACAATTTTGAAATGTTTTTCGTTCAATACACGGTTAATTAAAAAGATATCAAAGAAAAAATCGGCAGCTAATGGTCATCAGTATTTTCGAAAAGCTTTTTATACGGGAAAGTAATACTAAATTATTATTTTCAGTGGAAAACTATTAATTTTTTGAAAGCGTTAATTTTTAGTAAAACAAATCCTTCTGTAGTAGGTATTGATCAAATTCACTTTGTGGTTGATAAAAATGTTTTGTTTAAATGACCCAAGCATCGATAAAATAATTAGGTAACTACCTTTGTTATATTTACTAATTATAACATTGGTCAACTTACATTGATAAACTAAGGTCTGAAATGCAATTTTTGGCATAATTAGCAAAGCCCAGGTGTATCCTCACTTCAAAATCTTCTAATACAGTAGAACCTTGATAACTTAAACCCTCAATAACGTATTATCCTCTATATATTCATAAGATTTTGTGTTCCCTTCCCTCGGAGTCCAAACCCTCTATTACTTAAAATAAAAACCCTCTACAACTTAAATGAATAATTTGGGCATCGCACCTCTTAGTAAGCAGTGAAAAGTGGTTTGAATCGAGAGAAAGTCTTCTATGTAAAATACGAATAATTGCTGAATTTCCTAATTTAGAAAAATGCTTGTTGTTTACATGGCTTAGACAGTGTAGAAATAAAAACATTAGTGTTAATGGACGTATACTAAAGGAAAAAGCTGAAGAGTTTGCTAAGTCACTGGAAATCCATAATTTTAAAGCTTAAACAGAAACCCTCAGTAAGTAAAAACCTCAATAGCTCAAATTATTTTACGTTTCCCTTGGTCTTTTCCTTATCGAGGTTCTACTGTATTTGAAAATGGGCATGTTTCTTACAATTTATTTACGATAAACTTTCTTTTTCATTCTTGCAACTAATCAACTGCCCCCCGTCCAAATAAAATCCGTATAAGATAAACAAGACAGAGGTACACAATTTGGGCTTGAGAGAAGAGGGTAGTTTTATAATTTTTAAAGGTTTTAAATGATTGTGAATTACAAATGTGCGTTTTGCGATTCTAGCAGATCAAAGTAACATTTGGAAATATAAATAATGAAAAGTAATTTTCTGTTTTTTCACCCTCAAGCAAAAGTACTGGTATTAAATATATATTGTTTATCGTATTTGTAAAAATAAAGTCGGATGACCTCTAAACCTTCACAATAAGACCAAAGTTGACTACAAATTTACGAGGTTTTATTGCAGCCCCCCTGTCGTGCTTTATGGGGTAGCTCCTTTAGCTTGTTACGGTAGCATAATTGGGGCTGTTAGAAATTAAAAATTTTATTTTTTTTGTATACTCACTTGGTAAGCAGACGGAATTTTCTAATCGATAATTGCTCGGACAGACGCATTCTCCGTTACTACAGACCGAGTTCTGTAATTCACTTCTACAATCCCAATCGCTGCTACATCCGGTTGGCGTTTCAGTGATATTAACTAAACAGAAACGTATTATTTATCTGTCAACACCTTAAATACATGTCAATGTTCTTGGGAGATTTCTTCTGGACCAATTATTCAACGACAAGTAATATTTTATCTTTCGTACTATGAAGGAACACATGTATTTTCGTAGCATACAAGATTAGTTGTGCCTTGCATCCACTCTACATACCTATATATATATATAGGTATGTAGAGTGGATGCAAGGCACAACTAATCTTGTATGCTACGAAAATACATGTGTTCCTTCATAGTACGAAAGATAAAATATTACTTGTCGTTGAATAATTGGTCCAGAAGAAATCTCCCAAGAACATTGACATGTATTTAAGGTGTTGACAGATAAATAATACGTTTCTGTTTAGTTAATATCACTGAAACGCCAACCGGATGTAGCAGCGATTGGGATTGTAGAAGTGAATTACAGAACTCGGTCTGTAGTAACGGAGAATGCGTCTGTCCGAGCAATTATCGATTAGAAAATTCCGTCTGCTTACCAAGTGAGTATACAAAAAAAATAAAATTTTTAATTTCTAACAGCCCCAATTATGCTACCGTAACAAGCTAAAGGAGCTACCCCATAAAGCACGACAGGGGGGCTGCAATAAAACCTCGTAAATTTNAAAATGCACTAAACCCATTCCCTGTATGTGGACAAACGTGCCAAGAATTCCGGATCTTGATTTTGGACTTGAATAATGATGCAAAAGTTCAGTTGTGACTTTATCAAGTTTACATAAGCTAAATGTAATAAAAGTTAAGTGTGTGACAACCCCAACTGTAACACGCTAGCTCTCATGCTAGTTTAATGAAGTTGCAAAATATTATACTGTGTGGTGTTTATGATTACAGAGGAAACTGTTTCGTTTGCGCTACAAAAGGAAAAAGGAGTAGCAAAAAAAAAGAAATATAAAGAGAGAGAAGCTCAATGTTCATGTTGGAAGTTATGGTCAAAAAGATTAATTTAAACATTAAGGGGTTGATTCCCTAACAATTTTTTTTGCTGAACTTTTTGCTTTCAGAAGAAGCAACTGCAGATTGAAAGATTAATAATTATATTTAATAAAAACTATTACATTAGCAAAATAACCGTTCCCCTTTAGCTATTATCAATCCCTAGACAAAAATTTTCAGTCTCAGAGTCTTTCAGCGTCTCTGAGAGCGTCTCTCACAATCTCTCAGTTATTGCCTAGGTGTTTTTATGGATCTCTCACAGTCTCTCAGTCATGAGAGACTCGAACGATAAAATTGTTAATTCAGAGATTCGAGTCTCTCACAGAGAGACTGAATGAATAAAACCGAAAAGTTGAGAGACTCGAGTCTTTCGTAGAAAGACTGGGACCTCTGAAATATGTTGAACTTAGAAAATTTTAACCATGTGTATCGAGACACCACTTATTGAGAGATTCGAGTCTCTCGTTCAGAGATTCGAGTCTCCCATTCAGATATTCGAGTCTCTCGTTTAGAGATTGGATACGAAATCAGGATCTCTCTATGAGCGACTCGAGTCTCTCGTTCAGAGACACTAAACAGTTTTTTTGATTGTCTCTCGACAGTATCTCTCAACGATACCAGAGAGACTCGATGAGAGACGGAGACTCGAGTCTCGCTTTCAAAGACTCTGAGAGACTGAACATTTTTCTCTTGGGAATTGTGCTATCAATTATTTGCTTTAGACATTGAAACGAATAGATTTTGGGGGTAATTGGATTAATATAATCTAGACATGATACTTTTTTCTTACCAGTCACTCTGCAAATATAATCTTCGTCTAACACTGCATTTGATGTACAAGAACATTGGTTATTTCTACATGAAACAGATGTGCCCATAACGTAACACCTTTCGACGTTGTTGCACCACAAATTGTCAATAGCCATCGCTGAAATTTAGACGAAGTGAATTAAGACTGAAAAGTAACTTACTTAGAGTCCTTGTTTACGTTTCTGACATGCAAAGTTGCCTGGCAGCGTGAAGTATGTTTTCCTGCAGTAGCAACTTCCATTGAGGCATCTACTCGTTGAAATACCGCAGTCTGTGTCACTGGTGCAGCCCGAGTACACGCCAATTTCTATTTTCAAAAAGAAAATAAACTTATGAAACTAGAACTGCGGGAATATGTTTACAGAAACGCGCTCGAAAAATACTGAACGTGCACATATAGACAAATGACTTTGTAACGAAACTCACTTGCATACAAAAATGCCTTATGAACTATTAACAGTTTAAAATGACTGAAACAATCTTTAGCGAGTTTATTTACGAGTGAGTGGTTTTGATTCTGTTCAGACCAGGGTACATTTACCTGCCGTTTCCTTGAAACATTAAGTTGGAAATTCAAATATTCAAAATATTGTTGGTTTGTACAAATATTATATGTAAGTGGTTTGGGTGTAATTTTAGGGTATCGACCTTTGCAAGTAACAATATCTTTAAGTAACTTTATCTTCAAATACTTAAATAATATTAGAAACCAGTTGGTTAGCACCTTCACCCCTTCCTCTATCAGGGTGGAGATTATTTTATAAATAGGCTAACACAACTCACAATAAGAAGATAACGAAAAAGAACAATTAAGACAGCAACAAACAACAATTAGAAGTCTCAGTGTATTAAAATCATCAAGTTCAGGGTCTTCAATATACGAGGGTGGATTGATAAGTTTCCGGCCTAACCAAGAGATGACGCCACTAGGCCTACCTTGAGGTGACATTCTATAGTACCATCCTTGGATAGCTTGTAGCTATAGTTTCAGCCCGATCTCCTTGCTAGTGTAGGTTTGACAGCACGCTGAACAAGACGCCTCTGTGGTTTTCGTAAAAATGGAAAAGCAGGAAAATCGTGCTGTCATCAAATACTTTTATTTGAAGGGGTTAACGCCGAAGGAAATTAAAAAAGAGATGGACTCAACACTGGGGACATCCTCCCCGTCATATTCAACCGTTAAGCAGTGGGTTTCCGAGTTTAAAAAGGGTCGTGTGAGCACCTCTGATGGGCCTCGCTCAGGACGCCCCGTTGAGGTCACAACTCCAGATATGATCGAAAAAATTCATCAAATAGTGCTGGGAGACCGCAGATTGAAAGTGCGTGAGATAGCTGAGACCTGTAAGATGTCATATGAACGTGTGCAACATATTTTGCACCAACATTTGCATATGGAAAAGCTCTGTGCAAGATGGGTGCCGCGTTTGCTAACAGTCGACCAAAAATTGATTCGAAAAAACATTTCTACCGCAAATTTGTCATTGTATAAGCGTAATCCAAGCGAATTTTTGCGTCGATTCGTAACCGTTGACGAAACGTGGGTCCACCACTACACTCCTGAAACCAAAGAACAGTCTAAACAGTGGATTGGACCAGGGGAACCAACTCCAAAGAAGGCAAAAACAATTTTTTCGGCGAACAAGGTTATGGCTACTGTTTTTTGGGATGCAAGAGGTATTATATACATTGATTACCTTGCAAAGGGTAATACTATCACTGGTCAATACTACGCAGACTTATTGCAACGTTTGAGCCACGAGGTGAAAATTAAACGACCTCATCTGGCGAAGAAAAAAATCTTGTTTCATCACGATAACGCACCAGCGCACACGTCAATCGTTGCGACGGCTAAAATCAACGATCTAAAGTTTGAATTGATGCCGCACCCTCCTTACTCTCCAGACCTAGCCCCGAGTGACTATTTTCTGTTCCCTAATCTCAAAAAATGGCTTGGCGGTAAGAGATTTGCGGACAATGAAGAAGTAATCGAAGCTGTAAATGGTTATTTTGAGGAGCTTGACGAATCAGTCTATAGAGATGGCATTAATAGACTGGAACACCGCTATGAGAAATGTATCAGCCTTGGAGGAGATTATGTTGAGAAATAAAAAAAAAAAATTTTTAAAAACCTTGTTTTTCTTGGTCAGGCCGGAAACTTATCAATCCACCCTCGTATGTACATACGTTTGTAGTAATAACTGTATATTTGTAAATAAATATTACTAAGTGCAGTTATTCGTGTTCCTCATCAACGAGGTAAATTATTTGCACTTACATTCCTTCGTAAAAATTCGTGTGCTCCCTCATAGGAGAAAGAAGTGGCGCGGCAGCGCAAAATAAATAAAACAGATTCATTTTTAATAGGGGTAGAGGTTCGTGTGAAAACAATTAAGTAGTAAATATTACCATGAGATGTGGTTATCTTAAGTTAACATATACGCAACCATGGAGGAATCTCTTGCCGGTTCCCTCTTTAATAACTACGTTACAAATTCTGGGAAAATTAATGACTTTTGGTTCTTGTTATATTAAGCCAAGGAAATTACTTTGGGGTAACTTTTCAAACCTCGTTATGTGATGATTTTTTCTTGACATGCGTTCATTCTATTGCATTTAAATTGGTCCATTAATAGTCGGAGCGCTGAGTTGACGCCATTCTTTGTTGTGGCAACACATTTGGGTGTGGAATATTCAAACTCAAAATATTAGGAGATAGAATGTTTTTAATGGGACCATTCAAGAATGATTAGTTTCTGCTTGGCTTAATTATTTTTACAGTTTGTGACAAAAAAATATATGTACATTAATATTATTTTCTCACCTGGAATACATAATCCAGACCCGGAGTTATAATAGTAACCCCTTTTACATACGCATGTACTAATTGGGTAGTAACAGACGGAGTTTTCGGTAACGTTCGTGCAATCGCTAGTGTCAACACAACTGATGTTCGTTGTAGCTAGAAAAAAAAAACAAAAGTTAAGTAAAGTATACAGTTTGGCCTTCATAAGTCAACTTTGAAAATCTTGCAATTTGAGTATGTAGAAAGAATAAGAGAAAACGTATTCGAAGGACAAATATAATTGGTAACGATTTAATTCACAATCCTTAGTTAGCTAAGGGCTGCCAACAACGGCCTGCGTCAGAGACAATGCAAAAATTAGCGAACCCTTTGTTCGATATATGTACATAAGATAATTAAATTATTAATCATATACTTATGCTCCAACAGAATTTAACTTTCAATTATTAATGTGAGAATTAATTCTTAACTTTTATCCGCTGTATATTACCCCAACTTAATGAGGGAAAAATTGTTGCTACTGTCACACCCTCGTCGGGGACCGAATCCAGGACCTTTGGCTTTAAGGACCGAAACGTTAAAAATGATTAAGGACTTTTGACCCGAATTAAGACTGTATCAGTTCAGTTATTGGCGACCTGTAAGTATTTAACATTACCTCCTCTGTACTTACCCCTTTCGGTAATACTTAAAAGCGCTGATCGCTCTGCTGCTTGCAAAACTTCCTGAGACGAATCCGAAATTAAATCCGACAAGCTGCTTTCGGTGCTCGTGAGGGTGGTTGTGTCCGGAGCGATTGTGGTTGGAGCGTTTGTCGTTGGGGCGATTGTGATTGGAGCGTTTGTTGTTGGGGCGATTGTGGTTGGAGGGATTGTAGTTGGACTGTTTGTTGTTGGGGCGATTGTGGTTGGAGCGATTGTGGTTGGGGCGATTGTGGTTGGAGCGATTGTGGTTGGAGCGATTGTGGTTGGAGCGATTGTTGTTGGAGAGAAAACGCAGGCTGCCACTTTGCAAACATAATCGTCGCCGAGGCTGGCGCAATCCGAGTCCAAAGAACAATAATCACCCGCTTCTGAAAACATACGAGAAATTGTGACACTGTTGAGTCTCAATGTTGCGTTGATGGAGTCTTATATTACCTACAGAGTTGCAAAAAAAAAAGATGAAGATGGATAATCATCTCTGCCAACCTCATAAAACGAAAGAGAAAGGGGTAATTTTCTATAGTTCTCTTTGAGGGCTGCTTTATGGCATAAAATTGCGAAACAAAAATAATTTTTTATCGTGCTTTAAAATACTGCAATAAGCAAAAATATATTTGTTTGAAAGGAAGATGATATCGTATAATATTAGACTATATCAGAGAGTATGTCGTGATTTAATAATATTTGTTGTTAACAGTAGTATCTATTTAAAATTATATTAAAGTAAAACTGTTTTCCTAGTGTCATAATAATAAGGAATAATTTATTTGTATTAACACTTATGAGAGAAAACGTAAACTTTTGGTAGCAAAGCGTTTTATTTTATGTGACAAAGAGATTTTACTCATCACTCCGAAGGACTAAGTAATTGTAACAATTTTAGTGCATCCTTTAAAATACTGGTTGTATTTTAAACTTTCACTCATGTATTTTTGGATAATAAATATGTAAGGCAGCCGGTCAAAGCTAGAAACAAACTCAAATAAATTCAAATTGATCTATTTTTAATTAACTGTTTGAATTTGCTCAGTAAGAATTTGTGTGGGTAACTGTCTGTAACCTTTACTTTTTGAAATAATTTATTATCTCAGGATATTTAATGCTGTTTTAGCACACTCATAAATCTGAAAAATATAGGAAATCTGTTCAAAAATTATCGCGAATTACGTATATTCGATTTTCGTTGGTACTCATGTCTCTCACTTGTATCCACAAGTTCGCCCATGTTGAATGTTCAGTTAATTTTAGATAGCTGCTTTACTTGCACATATTTTGGCTCATCTTCGAGGATCGGAAAAAGCTGTTAGGACTACTTTGAAAGGGACAAAATAGATATTCATGAATAAATAAAAAATTTTTGAAAAAACACATATTCGCGATACTTTTCGAACCGACCTCGTATTCCTGAACTTGACCTATCTTTTTATAGAGAATTATTTTCCACGTTTCCTAAATGTCTCGTTAATCTTCCAAAAAAATATAAATGTTATCTTCCTATATCATTACCCATTATCTAGCACATTCAGTAGTTTTAAGCACCGATTCGTGTCAGGAGCTTGCACTCCAAAGAGGTGCTCCAATACTTAAATGCTTTTTCACGACAATGCATTAATCGTTCCATGGGATTACGAGACATGGACAGGCTAGATTTAAGTCTACAGCAAAGTGTTGTTGGAGAATAAAATTTCCTAGGAATTTCCTCCGCTAAATTTATTACTCGAGCATTTTTGGGACAGTTAAGGCTTTAGTGCTAATTAAACTCATAAGAGGATTTCTTTAATACTGCGAGAGGGATTATAAAATACAGAAATAAATCGGCCAGATTTTACGGCTAATTAAAGCTACTTGTTTAATTGGTGGAACAAGAAATTGTTACCTAATACTTATCATAAAATTGATATAGTTTCACAAAAAAAATATTATGGTGTTATTGAAACACAAATGTCGCAGAGCTTTTGCACTAAAGATTTTTAGAGTTTCGTCTTATCATCAGTCAAGTTCAATATTGGTTTTGTGTGGCATGAAGATTCCTTTCAAAATTTAATTCCATTCAGAGAAATGTACCTTCTCTCTTCTTAAATAGTTGTTTCAATGAATGGTCGAAGATTTTCATTAAGTGTAATTAGGTAATTACTTCTATGCTCGCGAACGGTTAGTTAGAAATGTGTTACAGGCGAATAATGAGGATACTGTGAATAGAGAATGTTAGAAATGAGGAGGTGTTAGAAATAATAGGTGAATAGAGGTCACTCAGAAGGTCAGAAAGTTGTTTTGGTAGAACACGTCCTTAAACATGAAGGGCTATTTAGAGACACATGAGAAGCAGAAACAGGAGTTAAGAGGAGTAGAGGAGTAGTTAAGGATGTGGGATGTTCTAGTTTTAGAGAAATGCGAAGATTAACTCAGGATAAGAAAAAGTGGAGGTGCGTGTCCAACCAATCTTAGAACTGACGACCTTATGATGATGATGATGATGATTATCTACTGTATACACCTTCTTGTGAAATGTTTCAAATTCGGTTATGACCCTTCGGCTGAAGCAACAGTAAAAGTGATTCTAAAAATTGAATTCATTAACGAATTGTGACGATGATGATGCATGTACATTTGTCACATTCTATTAACGGTACGTATTTTATGAAGACCATTAAGAAAAAGCTGAAATCGAATTCAACGTCGAAAGTTTTACGACACACAAAAAGAAAGTTTGGCGCATTTCAATTTGATGTCTTGTAAACACAAACATAATTGAATGCTCGCATTCTACGTTGCTGATTTTAGCTTTTATAGGGACATTTTAATGTTTCTAAAAGCCATTGCCTTTCAGGCAGAGCAGTTATCGAACAGCCGCCTCCAACTTCACACCGCATAAAGCAGATACGAGAAAACGTGTCTGCAAAATCAAATCAGTATAATAGGCATACTCACTTTAACTTTTTGGAACGTTGTATTTTAACAGTGATACAGTAACTTTCTTCCAGAGTTTTTGCAACAAATTTGTTTTGAAAGCCTGTTGATTGATATGAATTACTGATAGAGCAGAATATGAAAACCTCAAAGTTAAATTTCAGGGTATATAACAGAATTTGAATTATAAAACCTTTTAAAATACGCGTAAAAGGATAAAGGGAAGTTTTAAAGGTGTTGAAATCGGGGGCTTCAACTGGTACAATAGTAACGTCAAGTCGTTACTTTCCAAAGGGTACCTGGTAATAAAATTATGTATATTTATTAGATACCATTCTTGTCACTCAATAGACTGGTGTCAGTTATGCACCCGCTAGGTGAAAATTACTAAAATCGAACGTCACCCGTATGGTCAAGTATTGTACAGCAGGCATCTACCTAACGCTTCAATGTGTAGGCACTTTGTACCGGGTGCATTTTTAAGTAACTATCTATGTAAATAGCTAACGATAAGGATGTATCAACAGCCACCGGTTCATAGGCGAGATAGCACGCCGCGGTTAGTATCTGCCAGCCCCGAACCTGTTAGGTACTTCGTACTGGGTACATTCCAATCTCGACGAGTACTGGATGGTTTGTCCAATATTGACATCACTGTAGTACACAATAAACGTACAGTTAATACAAACACGAGTTAAGAATAAAAATTTCCACTGTTATTTAGGGCCACATTTTGCTACATTATGAATTTATATTGGAGACTTTAAGACATGAAAGAAATGGAAATGCATCTTATTTAGCATTAGCAAAGTTAACCTTATTGAGATTCTATCATAACTACTGTAGTAACTTCGATCTATGATGCCATCATTGGATTATCGCACCTCGTATATCTCATCAAGCGATTCATTAATTCTGGCAAATGATAGATAGAAGATAGTAAACTCTCTTGACGATTGCGCTTTGTTCTTAATAATCTTCATCATTATCCAGTTCTTGTCCTGAAACAGTGGAACGACAATTTTCATGCTCAGCCTTCTCCAGGGAGTCTCCTTCTTCTTGTTTGGAGCTGGGCGACCTATGTGTGTGCAGCAAAGCGTTTTCATTTTACCTTCCGTCAATAGTTACGATACGATCTCAAATGCTAAAAGAGTCCTTCTGAAACGGCTACAAAGCGACGGTTTTCATCTTTTCAAATCCGTAACCCAATTTGGACGCGTAAAAGCTTGCAATATTTTACGTGGTGCTGATATTTTTTGAGATATCGGTACTGGAGACAAGAAAAGGATAACTTAAAGTATTAGGCTATTATTTATTGATGTTGGAATGTAACAATGGTTATTATCCTTTCTGGATCTGAACAAGAACAGAAAATCTTCAAATAGGCTACTACTTATTGATATTGGAATATAACTATGGTTATTATCCTTTTTGGATATGAATTAATATGGAAATGAAAATGGTAAACGCTGAGGAAGAAGTGGAAACTCTTCAGAATCTACTGCGCTATCTATCGTTTTGTTTCTAGAATATATCCTATTGTTTAATATTTTATTCTAAAATTATTATAAAATAAACAGTAGACAGCTCAATCATTCAAAACCATGGTGTAATATAGAAACCTTTCTAATTTTAAGAGAAGTCACCACTTTTTTCTTCTCATGCCCTGAACTACCACTGCCACTTTCTATTTCTTCCCAAGATGTATTAATACTTTTAATTTTGATATTATCATTGTAAATTTTCACAAGAACACAAATAAAAACAAGACTTTCATCAATTTCAAGAAAATATAAGGTTTTCGTAAATTTTTTTTAACGATATAGACGAGACATCTAAGCTAAAAGGTCTCAGACATAAAGGACTAATTAGAAGCAGAAACAGGAGTTAACAGGGGTAAAGTTAGATCTAGATTACATTAGATTATTGCCCGGAATATTGATGTGATACCTACTGATTGTAATATGCGTGAACCGAGTTGATTCGCAAGCCGCGCCAAGAAAATTTTCACATCACAAAAGTTATTAAAATGCATTTACTTTTAATGAAAACTTTCCATCCAACAATAAAGTGTATAAGTACTTATAAAACATTAAGTTTAGCTGATATTTAAAATTGTCTACAATTAGTCGAATGGTTTGAATAACAGGATGTAGAGAAAACAACAAATGAAATTAGTGAAAAGAATAGTACTCCGTGCATATTGCCACTTTATAACAATACAATTTGGTATGAATAAAGCATAGAATTCCATTTGAAAACAAAAAAACTGAATAGGGAGAATGGATTTCAACTGTTTAGCATTTGGGCAACTTCTAAGAGTACTCAATACTCTAACTAAGCTTTTATACGTACATGTAAGCACAATTATTCATTCATTATACTCAAAAATAAATTTAAACTAAAAAGAAGAGAATTGATAGTATTACGAATCTTTATTCAAAAAATATTAAATTGTCACTTATGTTTACCTTTTACTTTTGTTAAATTAAATTCGTCGGGTAATACAATTGAATACATTCCTTTCTTTCTGGACTTAGTTTTAGGTCAGGTTTTGAAGAAATTGAATCCGTATTTATAAATGGCGGCCTTGTAGGCCGAAATTAGTTAATAGCTACAATAAATTAACTGAAAGTTTTCAAAAAGTTTTCTTTCCACAAATATTAGTACGATTAACATTCATTTAGTAGAGGTCAACTCTATCAAACAGGTATACCAATAGAATCAGAATTTAAACAATTTCCAAACATTTCCAGACAATAAATTGTAGTTTACCTTGCGCTTTCGGCCTGCAGTCGTAGTTCCCTCGTAGATAGTAGTCACTGCTGCAAGTGCAAATTCCATTGCTGCATACCATGGCTAAAATATCGTAGCCATTGTAGCAATTTTCGGTGGAGTTGCAGGATTGTCCCAGACCTGCAGCTCTCCTGCATCTTCCGTTGTAATACCACCAGCCGTCGTCGCAGGCACAGGCTCCCCTTGAGCAAACGTACCTTCCTAAAAGCCACGAACACTGGTTATCGTCAATGCAGGGAGCTCCATGACCCACAACCACTAAAAGAGACAAGATATTATAACATACTACATGTATTATATTTTTAAAAGCGCGTACACTCAATTTGGTTTACTATTTAGTTACATGGAATCAGTTGTAGTAGTTATTATTAATGCAGTGGACTGTAGAAGGTGTTTTTTTAATTTACCACCGGATTTGGTGAGACTAAAGTGTTTTATTTTCGCCCTAAAGCTTGATTCTCACTAACCGTAAGTTGACGGTCAGCAGCCGCCCGTCACATACCTGTCGATAAATTATTCCGTCAAAAAAGCATTATGTGTACTCACTGTCGGTGTAATGGATTGCAGAAGGGGTTTCTAAATGTATCACCGGATTTAATGAGAATACGCTGTTTGGTTTTACCTAAAGCTTGATTCTCACTAACCGTAAGTTGACGGTCAGCAGCCGTCCGTCAGATACCTGTCGATAAATTATTTATTCCGTTTAAAAAGCATTGTGTGTTCTCTCTATCTTTGCAGTGGATTGTAGAAAGGTTTTCTAAATTTAACAGTGGATTTAATGAGAATACAGTGTTTGCTTTCACCCTAAAGCTTGATTCTCACTAACCGTAAGTTGACGGTCAGTAGCCGACCGTAAGGAACCTGTAGATAAATTATTCCGTTTAAAAGGCATTGTGTGTTCTCTCTATCTGTGCAGTGGATTGTAGAAAGTTTTTTTAATTTTATCACCTGGTAAAAGTATGAGCAGTAAAATGTTTGAGGTGTTGTAACGTCAATATGAAAATACGTAATTTTGAAACTAATATAGTATAATTCTAGTGTATTTATGCTATTTAGTCAAGCTTGAGTGAAAGTTCACCGTACGTAAGGTCTCTGAAGTTTAATTAACGGAAATAGTGCCTTTTGGGAAGGTGGCTGAGGGATACAATGACGTAAATTCAAGAGCGTGATGAATGTTATCAGTTCGCTGGTTTTGTCTATTAATGTACTTTCCACTTTATTAATTATTAAGCTGATATTTCATATCGTATTTGCGAAAGTAAAATACAAGTTTGAAGGAAGGATAAATCATGGTTTCAGAAAAAAAATAATTCTATAGGTACTTTTACGAAGAAATTTTGAACTGTCCTCATTTTGTGATAACGTATACGCTGATGTTCCGGTCTCGTAGTAATTTAAGTAAGTGGAGTTAAATTAATGCGAAAGAGACTGGGGAAGTTGTACAAATCTTAAAGGGTGCTATAGTTAACGAAAATCACCATGCAAATTGGAATTAGGAGTTTTCATTATCTTACTTCGTAGTAAGAGAAGAATTAAATGTTAAAGCTTAAGGTGCTAATTTAACATTGGTTAGGTTAGTATAGACTGGAAGTAATTTTAAAATTAACAAATTGTTTTATTTTTATCATCTAATGTGCTTTAGAAAATATGGAAATGTCACACGTTTCGTCTCAAAATATATCGCAATTTGTCAGTAATTAAGTAAGGGACCATTTGTCATTACCTATTTATGCTTGTGCTACTTAATGCAGTCTATGGATTTTAGATCTGCCTCTAATTTATCATAGTTATAATACGACTCACATTAAAATGTTTAATTTGGGATAACGTGTGACACTCAAAATATCCTAATGGATAAGACGGGGATAAATTAACCGGGAAATAGGAATCTTGTTCGTTACAAGCGAGTGTAACTTCTAAATCTGTCTTACAGATTAGAGAATTTCCTATCGCTACTAAGGTTGATTGCGATTGATTTTTAGTCTAATAAAATATATATTGAAATTATATTATTTAAAGGCAATATCTCTATGTATTCTGTTTATTAGAGTTATTTACCAAATTCATGTTTAGGCTCCTTTTTTTTTGATTTACAAATAATTTCTAATGCTTTCGTAAAAATGTTATGTAAGCTTTTTAAACAATGATTCTATATCGATATCAACATGTTGTGCATGTAGATATAAAAATGTTACTGAAGCCTACGCAGTCGTTCTGCTCGAAAGTGTGATTATCTCTTCACGCGAAATACCTATAATCCACATAGGGCGTATCTTCAGAGAATTGTAAAAATAAAACCAGGTGAAGACGTTAATAATATCTGGCTAAAACAACAAAACATTCGCTGGCTAAACGGGATTTTGTTATTTTAATTTTTGTAGACTTACGATGTTAAAAAGCTGTATGGTGTTGTAGAACATCCTTATTAGGAACGAAGTTTCTTACACTCTTCGACAAATATTAATTATTGTAAATCCATGATGCAGAAGTACGGTTATCAACCGTTCAAAAGACTCACTTTTGCCCACCGGCAGTTTCTTATATCTTTACTTGAAACATTTTATTATTACAAAGAATAGGGAAACAGAGAATTCTATAGAGGAGTCAATACGAAATACGCGAGTTGGTTGGTAGGACACCTTCTCCGGCATAGTGGTCTAGTCAGAGACATATTAGAGACAGAAATGGAAGTTAAGAGAGGTAGAGATAGACCTAGATTAAGTTTACTGTTCTTCGTAAGTAGTTAAGGATGTGGGCTGTTCTAATTTTAGAGAAATGCGAAGATTAGCTCAGGATAGGAAAGAGTGGAGGTGATATATTCTTTTCTTGAAACAAAACATTTTTAGTATTTGAAATTTTCAGGTTGCTTTGCTAGATTTTAACACTTATTAAAAAAAAAACTACCACTGTTTGAAAAAGGGATCTACAAGAGTATCCTCGGAGTACGTGTTCGTTGTTCCTATGTTTGGATGAAATAAAGAGACAAACTAATTTCTTTTCGATATTATTTACTTCTTTCAAGTACGTTGTACTATTTTGTACGCTAAAAGGTCAATTTATGCGTAGGAGAAAGGGTCAATTTATTCATTGGAGGAAGGGCAAGTCCTCTCACAACTTTCGTCACTATTTTCTTTAAAAGTCATGACACGCGAGCATGTTGACAGAAAATTTCAGCATTTATAACATTTATTGTATGGGTAAATAGAAAAATTTGTGCTTAGAATAATTATTAAAAAACCTAAATATCAGATTAAATGAGCAAGACTAAGACTTAACGCGCAAGACCAAGACCAAGACTAACACGAAGACTGAGACAGTCTTGGTCTTCTCCTTATTTTGCTTACCATCAAATCAATTCTCTTATTTATAATCCACTTACTACCACAATGCAAAAATCTAAAACTAGAAAAAACTGTAAAATAGCTTCAGAATCTCATTTTATAGAATATTATTAGAATAAACTGTAAGTCATTCTTTTGTAACGTGAACTGCGTATTTATGTATTTTCGATAGTAAACTTTCTTCCGAATAAGGAATGACAACAATGCAGTAACGAATTGACCTTTTTAAATTAAATTTCCACTCCTGCTTCAATATTAAGCCATTCAGGACAGCCTTTGCTTGCAGTCCCTTCTTGATCCTTTGGGGCTTTCGAATAAAAAAAAACTGATTGTGAAAACTTGTTGAAATATAAGGCAAAGGGAATTGACCCCTCTGTTACCACTTCAAAGAGAAGCACTTTATTTAATAACTGCCAGATTTCAGGGTTTTTTAGTGCTTGTGGTAGGTGGCATACTTATTGTAATCATCTGAAAACGTACCACTTGTTGCACAAAATCTAGTTTCACTCTTATGAGGGTGCCGCTTTTAAAAATGACAATGGGTCGCAAAATGTGAACGTCATAACAAGTCCAAGTGAGGATCAAAACTTAGTGGTTCTGGTCTCAATGGTAGCCACTATTCGCTTGATTGGGGGTGAGTTTGCATCCGCCCCAGCAACGACTGTACTGCATCATCATAACGTCATCAGTCCTACGACTGGTTGGACACGCACCTCCACTCTCCTATTATGAGCTAATCTTTGCATTTCCCCCATCCCACACTTTTAAGTATTTGCGAACAGTAATCTATCTAATCCAGGTCTATACTTTGTTTAGTTTCTCTAGCAATGTGACCTTCAGTTTGACCGGCGCAAAGTAGAAAAGAACAGCACTAGGCCAGAAAAGAAAGGAGACAACTCTCGGCCAAACTCTTAACCGGTGAGGAGCGTATAATCCGTACAGTACTGCACGGAAAAATTGACCATTTTATCCACTACAATTGCATTGCTCAAATGTGCTGTTATTGGTACCATTTACTACTGAAAATATCAACGAGATGTTTATTTATATTTGAAGACATATTAAAGGCTTCAACGCTTGTTTTCAACTCGCACTACTATTCATGATTGAACAAAACTTTTGGCAGGTACTGTATGAAAGAATATGTTTAATGAACAAGGGTCGAGAGTATAATGAGTTTTTTCTCCCTACGTAAGCGAATATACCTACTTAAATCCTGTTTCTGCCTCTAATATATCTCTGACTAAGACCTTCGTGCCTAGGAAGGTGTCCTAGCAACCTATCTCGCCTATTTCTTATTCACTTCCATAGAGTCCTCTTTCTAATACCACTTCATTTCTAACCTTCTCTCTCCACGGTATGCTCATTATTCGCCTGTAACACCTCATTTCGAACGCTTCAAACCTTTTTTTTCGCCGCGCCCACCGTTCATGTTTCGCCCCCGTACACCGCCGCACTTCAAACATACACCTTTGTCAATCTTTTTCAAATTTCTAAATTAATCGATCGCGAGCATAGAGACTTCTTTTTATTGAAGGCTACTCGACTCCTGCCCTAAATGCTTTACATCCCTACTACTCCTTATGTACTGCACAGTGATTTTATTTAAATCGCTTATTTTCGATTTTTGCGGCGACGGGGATATGCTAGAAAAAGCCAGATAGGTTTTTAAGACATGAAGGGTTAATTAGAAACTTATCAAAAGCAGATATAGGTGTTAAGAGGTGTAGCGGTAGACCAGAATAGATCACTGTCGAGAAATGTAAAGATTGGCTCAAAATAAGAAAAAAATAGGATAATGTTATAACTTATACTGCTCGTACATGAATAAAAGCCATCATTAATTTGGTTTTAAAAAAATTAAACGCGGGTATGTACTAGGAAATGTACAAAAGCAAAACTACATATTTTGTAATTTCAACGACATTCACTAATTTGCTCAGTGAACTTCATAATAATAAACCTCTGACGAACGCAATATTGAGCTACAACATGACAATCGATTCAGTTACATATTTAAATTGATATACAACATTCATGTATAATATGAATCTTCTATTGATGATAAATATTGAGTTTGCATTAGCCCACCGTTAATATTAGTTTGTTTGTACTGCAGAATGTAAATAATGTAATTATTTAACATACGGTTTACGGTTGTGGTGCACTATAAATAAGCAGAGATGAAAATGGTAACGTTAAACGAAATTTATTTATGGAATTTTACATTTCATGAATGATATTATATTGTGACAGCGATATCAGTGATTACACAAAAAGTTTGTGTTAATAACATGAATCGTTCGTGAAGTGCCTTATCGTTAATTTAATTAAATTTAGAATAAGTATTACATAGAACTTCTACTATTAAAAAACAATAATATAATACTGTTACCTATCAAAAACAGCGTAATCTGTATGAGACATGGAGAGTAATTACTTACAATCTAAGCAGTCGGTTCCGTCTATATTGTACACTTGCCCCGGGGGACATTGGCAAATGAAATTTTCATCACAGTAGGCCATATCTGCTACACAGTCTGTATCATTAGAACATTCCAGGAAATTGCCTGTTACTAATCCTGAAATAAAAAAAGACTTTATATTAAATCCCAAATAATCACTTTTTTTGACGCTAGAACGACATCCTCATAAAACGGTTGATCTTAAACATAATCAAAGTGCCCAACAATTTTATCGTTTCATCAAACATACTTTTAATCTTAATGGTTTAGTCAAAATGCTAAAGTTTGTTTCTAAAATGACCTTTTGATTGAAACGAAGTTATTTAATTTTTGATGAGGATCTAAGTAGGTACTGGAAACTTGACCGAAAACTGAGCGAATCCAACCTTAAAAGGTAGAAAACTTTGTTTTTTATTTTTTTTGTCGTTACAGCAAGGTGTGTCTACCACTATGATTACACCTCGCACCTCAATTTATCTATAATCTTGTAGGTATATAAGTATCGTTTACAATTCATAATCTTCTTATTTTGAATCGACTCTACAAACCTTTTAAAAACAACTTACCATCTGAATTACTGTCAAATCACCTATTACTTTTAGTTTAGAACTATATGACTACAATGACTTTGTAGAAAACTTAATTCGTGATTATTTCGCTTTTATTATCGGCATTTTGCAGGTGTTTCCTTATCGTTAAACAATTTATGACGATTTATTACAGTAGATCGTTGACTTAGAGTAGAACACCTGTGCAATCTACAAGATAAAAGCTACAACTGTCTATGGCTTATGAGTTACAATGTATACACTTTTGAAAGTTTTAAATGCTTTTTTTTAATTTATTCGATGCTAAATACCTTAAGGTGATTAGAAAAAATAACTTCAACTTAAACTTTCGATAAATAGCTAAGAAAGTATGCTTAGATAACAAAATGTATTGCAATTTCTAATTTTTTAGAGAACAATTAAGATTAGTGACTGACTAAACATTGTAACATAAACGTAAGCACGATTGGTTCACTACTATTATATCTTTATCAAAAATATAACCAATCACAAGGAGCAACTTGAATATTACACACATTTTAATTTGCAAGCTGTGTGATCGGTTATACTTTTTATGACAATTATTATTAGTGAACGATATCAATAATATTGTTACATCTTTTCAGCCTAATGATAATGTTTTTACTTATAGCAATCTTTATTTTTTTGTATACGAGTATAAAATTTCTAAATGAATTGAATTTTATACTGCTAAGAAATACCAACAGCTTTGAAAGTCGTCAGTAGATGGCGATATACCGCCATTAACATCATTTTGTAACATTTCGCTTTATAAAGCCGTCGGTTATTCATGTGATGATAAGAACTAATAGCTATGTTCGCAATCTACATTTGTTAGTTTCGATAAATTATTGACCACGAAGTTATGTACTTATAGTTAGTTCAAAATGAATTCGCGTCACTAAATCCGGCTCGAAGGACCAACCAATGTTGGACGCTAGATCTATTTCTCTGGATGCATCTACATCTAATTATTTTATCGTATATTCAATGAACAGCGTCTAGGAACTAAATGATTATTATTATTTTCAGTATTATGCGGCCACTACTTTTTAATTTATTTACAATTTTGAAATCCATAAAGGAGACTTTTTTGGCCCCCATCAGCAGGGATCTTTATAAATACGAGAAAAGATAAAAAAATACTCTTCTAACAAGTTTCAGCATTTGAAGATACGATAGATAATATGCATATAACATAGTACGCCTTTTTACTTTTGGTAAAGATGGGCTAGGCCTAACTCTTTTCACAAAAATATCTAAAAAGCGAAGCGCTACTTTAAGAAAACCTCACAACAAGTGGTGAAAAACGTCAATACCGGTTCTGCAATAGAATAAATAATAATAGCTTTTAACGAAAAAATACAAATTACTTGATTCTAGAATTTCCAGTTCGTCATTTTTGTTAATGTTTAACTAACTTAACTCACCTAAACTAAACATAACTACTATACACAATAAATTATAATAACTGTTCATTATTAGATTTTGTTATAGAATTCTCACCACTCACATTTGTATAACTGTTCACTAACCTAAATGCTACTATTACGAACCGTATCAGACCATATTACTCCACGATTCCACCTGTTTGATAAGAAATCAATTCAGAGTATTAGTAACTGCTGTCGTATTATAGATAAAAAAAATGACACCGAAAATGTTAATGATGCACGGTAACCTATATCATCTGTATCTCAAACCACTTGTTCTCTGACCTCTAACCATCATCATATATTTTCTTATCTACGATAGAAGCACCTTTAATACTATTGATTTTCTCTCTGAAAATACCCACGAAGTGTTTTAAAAATGCATTACTGAAGCTCCACTAGTTTTAATTTTTGTTTGTTTGATATTTCAACTGAAAATTCTCCATGTTCATTACAGGCACGTAAACGTATTCATGTGCGATGAATACAATGCGAAAAAGAAATTTAATGGGAAACATATGAAGTGAAAACAAAACTGCTGGTCGCATTTATGGCGAAGTGCATGGCAACGTTTCGGTTCATTGGCCACTATTCTGCGCTTTAAAATTGGTATAAATATGAGTTTCTATTTTGTCGCGCTGCTTGCTTTTACGACTGATTTTTGCTTTCAAAATTACAAGTTGAAATAAAAATTGGATCGTACATCCGAGTTAGGTAAATGAAAAAATAGGAAAATATTCTAATTTTAAATAACGCTTACGTACGCTATAATTATGTTCTTAAAACACAGGCCCTTATTATCTCAAGTGCATATGTTTGTTTCAAAATATCTAAAGTATGTGGCATGATTAATTCGAATTTATTTTGACAGGGAATAGAATAAAAAATAATTAGTCAATTCTTTAAATTAGGAGTGTTAGTATTAAGTGAGTATTATTAATATTATTATCCTGGTCTTCTCAGTTTACACTGGTAACTCTGAGCAAGTGAAGACGGGCTAATGCCAAAGAACCTCACTTACATCTTTTGCCAAATGATATTGAAACCATTTTCTGCTTTTAAATTTTATAGAGCTAACAGTTCTTCTTGTCCTGAAATAAGATTAGTGATTAATAAAAACTCTGCTATTATTATCCTGGTCTTCTCAGTTTTCACTGGTAACTTTGAGCAAGTGAAGACGGGCTAATGCCAAAGAACCTTACTCGCATCTTTTGGGATTTGGAAACCAATTTTCTGTTCTTAAAATTTAGGGAGCTAACGGTTCTTCTTAACTTATGGAGTTTCAACTCAGCTAGGCTAGCGTGTAATGTTTTAGGTATAACGCCTATTGATGATATTATTATTGGAATAATTGGAATTGTGTTGATTCCACATTTCTTTTATTTCATCTGCTAAAGGAATATATTTTTTAATTTTCTCAATATGCTTTTGTTTAAGATTTTCAGTGTTTGGTACAGCAACATCTATTAGGTAGGTCGTTTTAGTTTCTTTAATGGTCAGTTTGATGTCAGGTCTGTTATGATGTCTATATCCCAATAAAGCTTGGCAAAATGGTTTTCTAATACATTTTGTGGTTTGTATTTATAGTACGGCTCTATCTAATCTATAAGTTTAAACTTTTTGTTTCTCAGCGAGTGTATCTGTTTATCAACATTATTATGCCTGTCGAGGTATTGTCGGCTAGCTAAAAATGAGCAACACCCAGTGATGTGGTCAATTGTTTCGCGAGATGTGTTCCAGATAGAAGATAAACCAAACAACTCCTTTTTTATTTAATTTTCTCAACAGAATAATATGTATTGCACCGATTTTATCGAATGATAATACGAAACCATATGGAAAGAAAAAATGTCGATGTAGATGCAGCGAAGTCGCAGATAGATAATTGTAGTATTTCAGTACTGATACTGTCCTGATTCTGAGCTAACGTTTCGCAAGCACGAGCGACGAGGTAGACTCCACATCCAGCATCGGAGATGGAAGGATCTTTGAAGAAGATCGGAACTCATGCTAACGAAACGTTAGGAAGCATATCCAACACACGACGACCTTTGGATCCGAATAACGACAACATCAGGTCAAATACTGGCCGCGAAAGCCTTTACCAATATTTCAGTAACACCATACAAATGAAATGTGTGCTTTTTAAGAGCAGAATATCGATAATACACGTCAAATAGACTTGATAAACTACTGGTTAGGTATTATGTAAGTAACTTCATTAAATATCTGATAGCGATTGACCCGAAATTTGCTGAGGAAGCCGTTCGATTCGTAGTCGGTTGCGGAAAACGTCGTCGGTACTCCGAGACCTATTATGCAATCTCCTGTACAAATTAGGAAATTACCAGAACAGGAATTTATAATTCAAGGGTTGTACTCCACCCATTTCCAGTTAAGATACCTATCTTCAACACCCTCTGAGAAAATTGCAATGATAAATCAAGTTGAACATTCTGAATTCAGACTATTTACCAAGATAAAGAAATAAATAAAGTTTAAATCCGTACTGACGACAGTAGAATTGCTAAAATACTTATTTACACAATTACGAGGAATAAATAATATAATACAGGAAACGTAAAACAAACATTAAGCATTCGGTATCGAAATATATAGCGATATCAGATGAAGAAAAACAAAATTTTACATTAATATATAAGATTAGACACCTGCTGTACACCTATATCTGGTCAATTAAGTACGTAAATAAACATAATGATAAGACAGCAGTAATAAACATGTTCCATACGTCCTATCGTAGAATAGGTTTGTTTGTGGGTAGATACGTATCTCCATCGCTCAGAAATGGAAAAAACTGTCGGAACATTCACTTTACGATTAAAAATTGTAGAAATACTATAAACGATGCGCGAAATGCTATAAAGACGATCGATTTAAAGTTTTAAGAACTAGAGTTTTGTAAAATTTCATCCGACAATGTTTCAACAAATTGTGAGTGAACAGCCTGCAATAATATTCTTATAGTATACATTAGATCACGTATATGACACTTTCAGCTTCAAACACCCCTATTATATGGATTTGAGTAGATATGTGTGCTTCTAATAATTTTATAGTGAAATAAAAAATATTAATAGTGTTATTTCAGGAAGACATCATAAAGTTTATATCAGTCTACGTGCGTTTGGAAGATTATAATTCGATTGAAAGTAACCTGAAGCTTTTATTTAAGCGTTTATTTGAAGTTGTTACCAACTTTCAACATTGTAAGCGGGTTGTAAAACGAGAAATGCCCGTTACAATGTACTCGGTTTATGGAATATCACTTCTACATTTTCACGGAATCTACGCTATGGCTTATTTAGATCGGATTTTGTGCCTGCATATTTCGTAAGCCGTAACCTTTACGGCATTAATTTAAAAATTTGCATGTAACAGAATTATGCACGCTACGATCGCAACACAATGTCCAAAAATACAAAGCTATCGGTAGTATGCAACATTATTAACTTTTATTACAATTCTCTAAGCCTATTATCAATCCGCTGTTCATTATGTCGAATGATTAACATCATTAAATACATTATAGTTTTCGAGTTGACATACAGGGGCAAAATACCAGATTTGCGGATGATATAGAAATATATTTAGCATTTATGTTAACGAAAATATGTGTAGGTAGGGGAGACCTGGGATGGTTGACTATAGGGGTAGGTAGACTAACTACCGAAATCTGATCATAACCAAGCATTACATTTCGCGTCCCGCTCAGTTGTC